TCTGCCACAGGCCTGATGGCCTCTTGATGCCAAATACTGTTTTCAGTGGTTTACCAACCCTCAAAGTATACTAAGATTGAAAGCTTTTGGCTATGCGTCTGAACATCACAGGGATCTATAAAATTTCCAGCCTTTTTCGACTGTTAATCTAATTCCTATGTGTTAGGGTAAAAATAGGCCCGCAAGTCATGTTTCAGTGCCTGAGTGATTCCCACTCCAAGCAGCAAATTGGTCTTAGGCTGGTAAATTTTCCGCTCTAAAAGGTCAGAGATTTGAGGGTAGAGAGGGCAGCATCGACTTTCTGGTATTTTTCATGCTGAATGGGAGATGACCCTTAGGAATTTTTAGCAGGCCCTTTTAAGTCTTGAAGCTATGCCAGCATACAGCTGACAGGTGGAGAATGGTAAGGAGTAAATGCCATGATGGCAGATAACAGAGACAGAGACATCAGAATGAGGACATTTGCCAGCCATACATTGAATCCGGAGAGGTATTATGCAGTAAAATGAGGGGCTTACCATATAGACACATAGAGATGTCAACTCAGGACAATTGTCTATGGTGTGTGGGTACTCTCAGTACACATAACAAGCTTCAGATTTAAAAAAAAAAATAGGCTTGTAGTCATTGCGGGGGTGGGATTTCAGTTCATTTTCAGTACAAATCATACAGTTAACTGGAAGAAAGCATTAATTGCTTGGGGTGAGCCAAATTTCTTGATGATATCATATCAAGTCTGTTGGCATAGTCCTGGTACCTTAAGAGACTAATGGAACTGATGCAGCTCAAGGCTGCTGGAGCTCCTTCCTTATAAAAGAAGCAATACAGGCAGTTCTGGCAATCAATATCTCCCTGTCCTGCAAAGTTCTTCTGATGCCATTTCATATTCATAATGCCCAGATGACTTTCTTGAGCTTTTTGGAATATTCAGGGTGGGAAGCGATGCTGAAAAGATGGTCTGTTGAGTACAAGCAAACTGAGATCTGTGTTAACATGAAGAAATTATCTGCTTTATGTGACCAATTGTGTTTTGAAAACAATATCACTCTAAAGTTTTGTTTCATCTTATTAGAATATGTATTTAACTGCAGAAAATCTTACCCACCTGTGCCATGAGGACTGTGCTCAAACACACAGCTGATCATCCTTCTGTCTTAAAATGCTTTGAGTGATTCCTAGGTCAGACAGCTGGATTATTTCATTCATTTATTCATGAAACAAGAATAACTTTGATCACAGCTAAATAGGTCTGATTCAAAATATCAGGCAGTAATCAAGAACTATATGATGAGGAATTCCTTCTACATTATTTAAATATACTTTAAAATCTTTTTATTCTTTTTTACCTCAGCCCTGAACAGAGATGAGAGGACTATCTGGAAACCAGTTCTGAATTATTGATGATCAGTAGCATTGCTTTGTGCAAGCTGAAAATGTGAGGAACTGCTTAAATTTACATCACTGATATAAAGTTCCCCTAGGGGGGACATTCTTTCTGCCATTTTCTGCCTGGACCACAGTGAGAGTGGTATTACTACAGCCAGGTGACAGTAGAAGTTGTTGTGAGGTACAGAAGTTTACTTTGGGCACTTCGTAACAGTGGAGTTCCTTTCTGCAAAGAAAAAACAGATTCTATGTATCTTAACAATGTGAATCATTAGTGTGCACCCATCCCTTGATCATACAGAAGAATACTCCAGTCCACAGCACTGTTATGTACACTTTATTGAATCTGTACATTTTCTTTGAAGAGTGTTAAAAAAATGGATTTCTACCTACACTATGAAACTTACTGAAGGAATTCTAGTACATAATGATTACATGACAAGTTCCTTACTTAAAAGGACTATGCGGGTCTTGGATTTCTTCCACTTTCTGACTTTTAAGTGATCTTTGATAACCTACCTTGAAAATAAGAACGTATTATATCACATTTTTGATTTTCAGCACTGTATAGTACTGTTATTGTTGGATATCTGCTGAAAGGGCAACACAGCAGGGTGCAAGAATCCAGGAAATTTCTGGAGTTTAGATACAATTCTTTAATACAGATGCTGGATGGGTCAAGCATTGGAGGTTCCTCTGTTGGATTCCTTACTCGTGGATAAGGAAGTACTGGTTGAAGATGTAATACTCAATGACAATCTTGGCTGTGATTACCATGAGAGGATAGAGCTTGAGATCCCTTCAGGATGGGCAAGAAGGGGGAAACCGGGCAGCTACCTGCTACTCAGCCTAACCTTAGTCTCCAGGAAGTTTATGGAGCAAATCCTCCTGGAAACCACATCCAGGCACATGAAGGCCTACCACGCAGTATCCCACAGCATCTTTCTAGGAACTCAGTGAAACATAGACTAGAGAAGCGGACTACTAGGTGGTGGAACAATGGCTGGATTACCAGGCTCCAAGGTTTGTGATCAATGGTACAAAGTCCAACTGATGGGCAGTCACTACGTGTGTCCCACGGGAGGGACCTGAGGCCAATACCAGGATCAATACTGGTTAATGCCTACTAAAGACCTAGGCAAGGGGACAGCATGTACCCTCAGCAAGTTTGCAGCTGACAACACATTGGTGGGCAGATGGGGAGGTGGGGGAAGGCAGTCAATGCACTGAAGGGCAGGGCAGCCATTCGGATGGGCCTCAACAGGCTGCCAGAAACATCATGAAGCTCAAGAGAGAAAAGTGCAGAGTCCTGGGGCTCTGCAATGAGAGTCCTGGGGCTGGGGCTAGGCTGCCTGAGGAGAAGCTCTGCAGGAAAGAACTTTCAGGTCCTGGTGGCAGCAAGTGAAACAGGCATGAGTAGTGAACCCATGTTATGATGGAGGATCATTCCTTACTGGGCAGTATTATTGCACCATGGCCAGGTCAAGGGAAGGGATTTTTGCCCTCTGCTTGGGACTTGTGAGACTATGCCTGGACAACTGTGTCTGGCTTTGGGTTCCTCAGTACACAGAGAAAAGCACAAAACGGAGGAAGTCTCACAAAGGGACACCCAGATGGTTAAGGTGACGTACAGAGACAAGGGACCTGTGTTTATTTGGCTTGATGAAAAGACGGCTACAGAAGGATCTAATTTCAGTCTTCAGTTACAGAGAAGGCAGCTCCACGCTCTTTTGGAGGTGCACAGGGAGAGGCTGAGAGGCTATAAATGAATTGCAGGAAAAAGGAACTAGGAATGAAACTGTACATGCTATTTCTAAACCACTAGTGACACCTAGTTTCCAATAAAAATACCGGCAGCTACATTAGCACTGCAACTCAGAAAAACACATCAGATTGTGTTTAGGATGCTACAGATTCGGTAATTTGAAGGTGCTGGATAGCATAACCCCAAACTAATAGATCCTGATAATAAAAATGTGTTCATGAAATCTCTGCTCCAATAAAGGACACAGAGCTTGCAGGTGTGGCCTCTCGGTAGAAGGCACTGATGCAACAACATATCAGAGACATTTCCATGCCTGTGTCTGTGCTGTCAGGCTAAATCATTCACTTCTCATTAAGGACTGACTCCCTGATTGCCCACACACTGTACATATTGATGCACAATGAGACAACCTTTGGGGTGCTACCATCTGGTTCCTCAGGCGGGAAATCTTGGACTTGAAGTGGAAGCAGCTTACTGATGTGCAACTCCTACTCTCACAGGCAAAAGAGATGCAATTGAGCCAGGTCGGGCTTGAGATGCTCTGCTTACAGTACTCCAAAGACAGCAGAGTACTGCAAAGGCCGTGAGCCTCCTTTCCCTCACACTGGCCCCAATTCAAGTTAAAACAAAAGCAAAGCGAATGGCCATTCTGGGCCCTGGAGCACTGCCCAGGAACAGTCAGGTTCTCCATTTTGGGACAAGAGCAAATCTCTGGCAAGAGTGTTGGTTTGGAAATTCTGTTCATTGGGGACAGAAAGTCACAGGTATGTGAGACAGCATACAGCTTCTGACAGCCAGAAGAGGGGAAATGTCAGATGACAATGCCTTTGGGCAGCCACAGTCTCCCAGAATTGGTAGAGCACTCTCAGCTACAGCATCCTTACCTTGCTTCCAAACTTTCCCGCCTCCTGCTCACCATCTCCCAAGAGAAATAAGAATCCCACTTCTATAGAAATGAGGGGCATTTACCCTAACTGGACAGCAGCTGTGGCCAGATGCGACAGGATAGGAGAGTCACCTATCACAAAGCATATGGTGGCCTGGACCACTAACAGACAATGACAGTGTGTCTGGTCACCACTTTATAATCAGCAGACTTCTGAAGAAACATGGACTTTCCATTGCATTCACAGCTGACTCCCACACACAACTGCTTATCCATCACCAACTCTGACTACATTTTGAGTCGGATATGACAAAACAATGCCACAGAAAACAAGTACAGCAGAGGACCATGTCGCTAACAACTGGCAAAATTGCTGTGCTTGAGTCATGTTCCTGAAGATGCTGCAAGAGCAAACTAAGAATCCCTACTGCCTGCACAATCTTCCTTTCTACATACCCTCTCCTCATTTATTGTTCTTTCTTCAAAAAGCTCAAAACTACAGTTTCGAGGTGAACAAATAAACATCCTTGGGGACCAGCCACCTAGCACTCTGGCAATTCTCAGGTGTGCTTTCGGTGTAAGGAAGAGAAAAGAGCTAGTATGCATCAAAAAATGCATGGATTTTATTTATGGACCCCTCATACATTTGGGGAAACTGTGGCTACTGAAGTAATTGATGTTTTTGACAACATAACTGACAGCTAGCATGTAGAAGACATGGCTGATGGCTGTGTAGTAACAATTCTAATAGTAGACTTTTCCTAGAACGTAGTAACAATTCTAATAGTAGACTTTTCCATCCCACTCTGCCTGCTCATTGATCAGCAGGAGTTTGGGGGTAAGCACACTCCAGAAGACAAGAAGTACCCTCTGTACTGAAGGATCACACTGACACGCAAGTTAACCTGAGGTGCTCTACATGATAGGAGAGTAATGTTGTGTAGCTGGACAACCTATCGTGTTATGCGGATCCAACTGATAAGAGCCAAGCAAGCTAAGCCCTACAGTGTGGATTTGTACTTGAACTTGTACAAGTACAAACCAGGTTGTACAAGTACATTGCTCAGCAAATGTGAATAGTATAGTATATAGACATAATCTAGAGCACTACTCCACCATCCTCCTGCTCAAAGCAGGGTCACATATGAGGTCAGATCAGGGTGGTCAGGGCTTTATCCAGCCAAGTCTTGAAAATGTCCAGGGATGGAGACTGCACAACCTTTCTGGGCAACCTGTTCCATTGTCTGACTGTCCTTGTGGTGAAAAAACTTCTTCTTTATATCTAGTTGGAACCTCCCATTTCAGTTTATGACCATTGCTTGTCAGCCTCTCATCATGCATGTCCATGAATGGCTCCGTTTTCTGAGTAACCTCCTCATAGATATTGGAAAGCTGCCATTAGGTTGCCCCAAAGCCTTCACTTCTCCAGGTTAAAAAAGCCCAGTTTCCTCTGTCTCTCCTGGGTTCTGTGCTCCAACCATCTGACCATCTTGGTGGCCTTCTGCTGGACTTGCTGAAGCTTATAAATATTTTTCCTATAGTAGGGGAGATGAAAACTGAATGCACTATTCCAGATGTGGTTTAATGAGTGCTGAGTAAAGGTGAATAAGCGCTTCTCTCAACCCTCTGGCTATGCTTGTGGTAGTACAGCACAGTATGCTGGCAGCCACCATCTCCAAAACCATGAGCTGAGTGCACAGTAACAAAAATACAGTGTCTACTTCCTACAGCTGAATGGTTTCTGGGACATCGTGTCCTCTACTGGATCACAAAGGTGAATCAGCCCATTTCATTTAATTTAAAGTCAAATTTAACTTTGCATTTTCAGAAATTTCAAGGTTCCTCACACAGTATATCACTACATTGCAGAGTTTTCCTTTTCTCTGCAAGGATAACATTATTTATTGTTAGGAATGTGCTTTATTACTTTTATGCTGTGACTAAGAGCTATATACACTCTAGGACACATATTAATGATCCATTAATATATTGCTCAGCTGTTTAAAATTACTCAGCCTAATATTTCATGCCTTTCTACACACCTGAGTTAATACATACCCTGGAGTGCTTTCTTGCCTAGTTACAGCACTCTCTCTACTAAGGAAAACTGGGACTTGATTGCATCCATATATTAATCATAGAGTATGTTTACATAGTATGACTTCACTTGATAGCGTAATGATGAAGAAGCCGGATGTACGTAGCTGTCTGGCTGAATGCCTGACTTAGGAAAAGGGAAGGGTTTCTACAAACATCTTTACATCTCCACAGAGGGCCAAAGAAATCACAGAAATGCTAGAGATATTTTTTTTAGATTGTGCAATCATTCTTTCTGCATAAAATATGGGAATGTCTTGCTGGATCATATATACGTATCTCAGTAAGTGGTTTTTGTTAAGCTCCTCAGTAGCAAATAATTTCTGCCTTTAATGAATTACATTAAAAGGTGAAGTGCTTAGTGGCAGGAACTCATGAAAAAGAACCATTATTCACCCCGAGGTTTTTGGCTCCAGTAGGCAGATCCTGTAAGTGACTTCAGTGGGCTTATTCCTTCCATTTAAACTTTCTTTTGTTCTCTGCCTGCAGGACTTCACACGGATTCAATGCAAATATATTTATTTATTTATTTATTTATTTATTTATAATTTCTGCCACAGATATGCCCTCTTGTTATATAGTTAGCAAATGGGGTTTAATGTTTGTGAAGAAATGACCCAGATGAATTACTATCTCTCAGGCAGGAATCATTTTACAGCTATGTTTCAGGGTCTTCTTTTTCAGTTTCTCCATTTTTCATGCCCTTATTGGGATGTGGAAGTAGGATCATTTACACAGAATTGGGTCATGAGATGAACAAGCATATTGTGAGAGATGGAAAAAATATTTTAAAGTATGAAACTTCAGAAACTGTTATATTGGATGGACTGGACTTGGAACAATAAAAAAGAACTGATATGCCAGCGTTGTATTTTTAAGGTCCAGGTAGCAACTGGTATGCTGACTAACACAAATTCTCAGACAGGAAACAAGACTAGAGAAACCTCATTTCTCCTTTAATACTATTGCATCTCCTGGGTGGGACTATTTGAGAAAGAGCTACAAAACAAAGATAAAAATGACAAAAGGCCAGCTTCATACAGAGAAAGACCTGGTCTGTTCTGATGCAAGAGCTGGTTCCAGCTCAAATCCCACATGGCTGATGAGCAATGTTTAGTAAACCAGTAAACACATAGTTTGTTTTACTGTTCTATGTAGTGGTGTAAAATAAGGGTTCCTAAATAATTCCAGTGAAGCACAGAATATTACTAAGGATAAATAAATCATCCAGTTACGTCTCTGGGCTTCAAGAGAAAATGACTTCTAAAGGTGACAGCTGTTTAGGGGGGGTGCCAGACTGCAGTGCCCTGGAGGAAACAATTAATGTTAAAAATGACTCTGAGACTAAGACGTGTTCATATTGACAAACCACGCGATGAGATACGTAGGCTCGGTGAACAGCAAAGTAGTCAGGTGGTGTATATTTTTAACATAGTCTATACCTCTTGGATTTGGCAGATAGAGTGCTGCTCTGTAGAGCAATAGCAGCCAATTCACACTGAACTACATGATCAGTGGAGTACAATGGCCAGGTTCGCTGGGGTTTTGCCCATTTTGCCTCTCTGGGCACTCTGTTAACTAACACAAACTGCCGCCTTTGCCATTCCTTTGGCCCTATGTGAAAGAGGAGAGATAGAGACTCAGTATAGACAATCTGCCTTACCTGTCTTAATGTAGATCTCATTTTAAATTTTGCCTTTTCTTGCTGGTTTCAGAGAAAATATCTAAGCCTGTGTTATCTTTTGTTATGCTACCTTTAAAATGCTTAGTGATAAAAAATCATGCTCCTGTCTTATGGCAGTTATCATGCCTCCAAGAGTACCAGGAGCTAAGCCCAGCTAGATTTTTGAAGGGCAGTCCAAGAAACAGGGTTCAATGTTCTGACAATCAGCTGGAGTGATTCAGGCAGAGAAAGAGCACACGTACAGGTTCGTGGCTTGGAACAGGTGCTTTTGAGAGAGTCCTATAGTAGAGTCAAGATGCTGTGTGCCCCAGCACCTCAGCAGAACCAAGCCTTCTGTTTGAATTAAGACTAGATAATAGAAATATTCAGATATTTGGCAAAAAAATAAATAAAATGTAAAGACGTGGACTGAGTGTTTTGGGTTTTTTTACCTTTCCCACAGTGAACCATAAGCATTGCTATTCTAGACACAGATCAGCCCTTCTAGTGCTTAATCACTTCCTAGGATTCCCTCAAGGTAACAGAACTTAAAACTTCCAATTGTTACTAGGGTTAAATTCCCCTCTTATGAAAGGTTTTATGTGGCTGTCCTTGGGTGAGGTGAAAAGAGAAACAAAAAATCTGCGACCAGCACATGAAGTGTAAGGATGCTGTACAGTCTCTTGGTGACTGCAGTCTGAAATGTAATTACATCTTTGAACTACCTATAGCTTCCCAGTCCCACGTTCCACAAAAGTATCAACCGAGTAATTTACTCACAGCCATTGTCTTACACTTGCACGGGGCTCCTTTCTCCAGGAGCAGTGGACTACCACTAACCCATGGTGGTCAGACAGAAGGGAAGCAGTGCAGAACTTTGTTCTTAGGAAATCAGAGGAAAGATGTTATTACGGTTTGAACGCAGGAATGGGTGGAAGAAAACTTGCCATCTGTCGGCAACTCCACCCCTGCGGACGTGGGTGAATTTTTTAAAGGCAGGTGAATAATGTATTAATTGTTTCTGAATGAAAGCTGAGGTTTTCAAAGCTCCACAGCAAATGAACCCTCCATTGTGAATACTTCCTGTCTGAGAGTCACTTTGAGTAAGTCTCGTGGTAAATTTCCATTCACTCTCTGGATAAGCATAGCTTTTAAAATTAGATTACTGATGTAAACATTTACGATTGCAAATTTAAAATGTGCTATAAAGATTTATGGGGAAAGTAAAATCTCTATTTTGCTGTATATTATATTATACACTATATTATACACAGATGATAAATCACTTGGTATTTAGATATATTTATTTACGGAACAAATATCTATCTCAGAGGATTTATTCTTGTTTGTAAAATGTTCTGATAATCTGGGATGAAAGATGCAGTGGAAGCAGTAATAAACATTTCTACAATCATTACTAAAATTCTCTACCAATTTCCTGCTCTTTTTCCTTTTTTTTTTTTGTTTCAACATCTAAATTTCACTGTTTGTTGCTAGATACTTTTTAATCTAGTCTTGTATGTGAGAGAAATGTTTCTTTTTCCATAGTTGCCCACAAGTTTCTCTTGCTAATGTCAGAATATATGCCTCCAGAAAATGGTATTTGAATGTTAGTTACTAGATTACCATTCATATTTCATTCTTCTAATGCTTGCATCCGTGTTAGCTCTGTCTTAATTTTACTTCACTGGCCAGTTCTACTTAATGTCAGAGTGTCCTCTGCTGTACATAGCAAAAATAGCAATGCATCACAGGTTCTTCCATTCATGATGATGAAAATGCAGTGAATTGATAGAAGATGAGACTCTGTAGGGATCTGTGCAGCTTCTCACTTAAATTTCTCTGTCAAAGCATTTTTGCAAAACGCTTTCCAGTTCTGCAAAAATCATCCATGCTACAGATGAATTTGTAAATAGAATTCACATTAAAACCTCCTAACACTCCCACCTCGCCCTCACCAATGTTTTATGTTTAAAGGGAAGATTTCACTAAGAACCGGTATTAGGAAAATTGCCTGAAAACAATCCTCTGGGACATCTTCTCTGAATGTCAGACATGAAATAGGGAGAAAACTTTGTAAAGTTTTAAAAATACTCTACAGATTTTTTTTTCATAACTAGCTTTCTGCTGTTTGGTGAGAACAAACTGGATGTGTGAAAGGTTATAGGAATACTCCGTTTTAAGGGTAGATACTTAACCATTGCCCGGATGTCCCAAGAATAAGGTATATGCATATTTTTCTAATTAATACACACATCATTTTATAGAAATATTAAAAATACTGAGAAAGACGTTAACTGCAGTCATAATTATTAGCTACAGAAACAGGATTCAGGATAGACCTGTAGGCGTTAAGGCGGATAGCTCTCTGAAAATGTCAGTTAGTTGATAATGTTTAAAATAAGAGGTGACGTCAGGTGTTTTAGAAGAGCAGCAGGAAGACTAGAAATGCTCACATTAAGACTAGAAATGCTACTCATATTCAACAGCATAGAGCACCTTCCATGCAAGGAGAACTGACTTGGATCCTTCAGCTTCAAAAATCACTGAAGATGATACAATACAAATTCTGTGAAAGAATGCAAAGAAGGTGAGCGGAGAACCATTTTTATTTACAATTTCCACAACAGTAGAAGTAGCAAGCGTCCAATAAAGCTTTAAGGGAACAGGTTTGAAACAGCGAAGAGGAAACGCTTTTGCACACCATCTTGTCATTGAACAGTGGACTGCTGACATGATACGGTCAATGCCAGAAATTAAAGAAGAGACAGCTTTTAAGAATGAGGCCAGACACATTTGTGGAGTACGTGTCCATCTGCAAATATGGAATACCACGTGCCC